AAGACCAATCTCCACCCTTCCGGCGTTGCGTGAGTGCCATCCTTTCTCAGACCTGAGGTCAATTGAGTTGGATCAAACTAACAACTATCTCAAGGCCGAACAAGGAACACACGGAGATTGAAGAGTCCCTCCACGACAAGGCACACATCGACTATGACCGTGTAGCCATTGTAAGCTCACCTGGGCATACAAACCTCAACCCCAATACTAACCATGCCAGATTGCCAACCCTTCAGTCGCTGCCCTCTACGAAGATGCGCTCGTATACGAGACCGGCTCAGCCATCACAGCCTCAGGCGCTCTCTCAGCATACTCAGGAGCCAAGACGGGCCGCTCGCCCTCGGACAAGCGCATCGTCGAGGAGGACTCGTCAAAAGACGACGTCTGGTGGGGTCCAGTGAACAAGCCGATGAAGGCCGACGTAAGTCTTCTCCGCATTTCCTACGCATTAAACTTTTGTCTACGTCAAACCGCGGAATTGGCTTGTGAAATTTTGGTGGCAGACGTCATGTACGCTAGGCGCATACCCGATGGAGTTCGCATCCCTGCACGTGGCGCGGTTCTGGGGCTCGGCTGCCCCGCATCGCGCCTGCATGACGGATCAACTTCCATCGATCCATCTGGAATACTATCACGTGCGCATCTTGAGCTCCTGCTGACATCCCATCTAGGTCTGGCGTATCAACCGTGAGCGTGCCATCGACTACCTCAACACCAGGAACCGCATCTACGTCGTCGATGGCTTCGCCGGCTGGGACAAGCGCTACAGGATTCGCGTTCGTGTCGTCTGCGCTCGTGCCTACCATGCTCTCTTCATGCGCAACATGTTGATTCGCCCTTCAAGGGAAGAGCTGGAGCATTTTGAGCCTGACTACACTATCTACAATGCCGGTGCTTTCCCTGCCAACAGGTACACCAGCGGTATGACTTCGTCAACGTCCGTTGCCCTCAACTTCGCCGACAAGGAGATGGTTATCCTCGGTACCGAGTACGCTGGTGAGATGAAGAAGGGGTGAGTAGACACCATGTTTAGCATCGAGGGCAGCAGCTGACAAAATGAAGCATCTTCACTGTTCTCTACTACGAGATGCCTGTCAAGCACAACGTCCTGACTCTTCACTCTTCCGCAAACGAGGGTATCAAGAACGGCGATGTCACCGTCTTCTTCGGTCTTTCCGGAACTGGCAAGACCACCTTGTCTGCCGACCCCAAGCGTGCCTTGATCGGTGACGACGAGCACTGCTGGAGCGACACTGGTGTCTTCAACATCGAAGGTGGTTGCTACGCCAAGTGCATCGGTCTCTCCGCCGAGAAGGAGCCAGATATCTACGGCGCCATTCGCTTCGGATCAATTCTTGAGAACGTTGTCTTCGACCCAATAACCCGTGTTGTTGACTACGACGACGACACCCTGACCGAGAACACCCGCTGCGCCTACCCCATCGAGTACATTGAGAACACCAAGATCCCCTGCATCTCAGAAGGCCACCCCAAGAACATTGTTCTCCTCACCTGCGACGCCCGCGGTGTCCTTCCTCCCATCTCCAAGCTCAGCCCCGAGCAGACCATGTACCACTTCATCTCCGGTTACACCTCCAAGATGGCCGGTACTGAGCAGGGTATCACCGAACCCCAGGCTACCTTCTCTTCTTGCTTCGCTCAACCTTTCCTCGCTCTCCATCCCATGCGCTACGCCAAGATGCTCGCGGAGAAGATCCAACAACACGGCGCCAATGCCTGGCTCCTGAACACCGGCTGGGTCGGTGCCGGTGCTACCACCGGTGGCAAGGTAAGACAATCCTGCAACAATATCCATTCAAAACACATGCTAACTATTTCCACAGCGCTGCCCCCTCAAGTACACCCGCGCCATCCTCGACGCCATCCACTCTGGCGAGCTCGCCAATGTCGAATACGAGACCTACGAAACCTTCGGCCTCTCCGTCCCCAAGACCTGCCCCAACGTCCCCGACGAGCTCCTCAACCCCGCCAAGTCCTGGAACGGCACCGCCGACTTCAAGGGCGAAGTCGAGAAGCTCGGCAAGCTCTTCATGGAGAACTTCAAGAAGTACGAAGACCAAGCCACCAAGGAGGTCATCGAGAGTGGTCCACACGTATGCTGCTGCCCCAAGCACTAGACGGTTGTTTTTCGGTTCCGACATATCTTTCTTACTCTTTTGACAGACTGACTAGCGGATTTCCACTTCGATGTTACTTTCTCCTTACGTTACAATCGAGCGGTCGAGCGGGTACCCTCCATCGACGTCAGCGGCTGTGCTTTCCTCTTTCTTTTTTGATTGGACGGATGCGGGCATACTGTGTGCCTGCAGACGGGATTTGATATGATATCATGGCTTTATCTCTTTACTTTGCTAGATGCGTCTTATGAGCGCTTTGTCGCGTGTACATACACTTTTGGCGTTGGGTCCAGCTGAGCATTTCGTGGCAGAAGACGAGAACGTAGCATAGCTGCTGTTGGAAGGGGAGAGAGAGAGACAAAAGTTCCATCATGTTCATCGAAGCGGTGTTCATTATGGTATAGGTGTGATTGAGGCTGTACCACTCTCGGAAGATACTTGGACCGCTTTCGGAAGGTATCTGTCGAGAGTGGTACATCCTTGTTCCACATTTATACCATAATGTATAGAGCTTTTGATGAAAGAATGGATCTTTTCAATCAAACACATTTACCCATGCTCTCTGTCTCAAAGGCGTGAGAGTATCAAACTATTGAGTTCATGCTCTTGCCACTACTGTTCCTTACTGCCTTCTCAGTACAAGCCATTCCAACCCCCATCCAACCATCCCTGTTTTTCTCCCATCTCTCATCTTCTTAATACACCACCCCTCACAAAACCGCCTCATCCATATTCCTAATCCACCCCCACATCCACATCACCGTATCCAAATGCGCCTGCACCCCCACCTTCTCATCCACCGTATGAATATTCCCCAAACCAACCTGCTCCCTATCCCAACCCGGTCCATACCGAAAGATGTTCTCGCTCAAGTCCCAATAGTAACGCGTATCCGTGTTTCCAGTCATGATACCAGGGCTCACGAGCAAATCCTTGCCGTAGAGCGCACGGGTTGTGCCGGAGAGGATCTGGTAGGGCGTTGCGGTTTTGTTTGAGTGTGAGGTTGATTCCAAGGATGTGGGGGTTACGGGCGCGGGTTCTAGCATGGTGGGGCCGTGGGATAGGGTTATACTCGAGGGAGTCTCGGTGCCGTTGAAGGCGTGCAGGGTGAGGTTGTGTTTTTGCGCTACCTGGGCGGCGAGGGACGCGATGTGCGTTTTCACGGCTGAGGAGCTGGAACCGACGTTTATGCGGTGGTTCACGGTGATCTGAGTTCGTTCTGGCAGGGCGTTTGTCTTTACGCCGCCGTGGATGATGTCGACGGCTACGGAGGTTGTGAAGAGGTATTTTATTCCCGGACCTGCTTTTGCTGCTTCTAGTGCGAGGGCGTCTTTTGAGGACTTCTTCGAGCAGGTTAGACTGCGTTTGGAGCGCTTGTCTAGGAGTTTGCCGAGGTGGTGCGGGAAGTCCGGGGCGTGGGAGGCGCCGCATTGGAGGAGGCCCAGGTACGGGTTCTCGTCTGCGAGATAGGGTTCGTAGGCGTTTGCTTCGATTAGGGTGATGAGCTCGCTGGCTACGCCGATGCCGTTGTGTGCGGGTGGGATACTGCTGTGGCCGCCGGGCATGCGCACGACGATGTCGACGTCGATGTAGCCTTTCTCGGCGACACCGGGGATGGCGAAGTTGGCACCCCAGCTTTCGACGTTTACGGCGCCTTCGTCGATGATGGCGGCGATGGAGTTGTGGCCAAGCTTCTTCAACAGGTACTCTGAGAGATGGCCTGCGCCTTCGCGACCAGAGATCTCCTCATCGAATCCAAACGATAGAATCAATGTCCGCTGAGGAGTAAACCCAGCAGAAATCAACGCCTCTACGCTGTTCAGAATAGCCAACAACTGGTTCTTGCAGTCGCTCGCACCCCTGCCCCAAACAAACTTCCCATCATAATGACCAGAAAACGGGGGATACGTCCACTGCTTAACCGTAGAGTCCGGAACAGGCACAACGTCCTGATGCGCCATGAGCAGATTAGGCTTCAAGCTCGCATCCGTGCCAGCCCACGTATACAGCAAGCCATGCGTGTTGACCTTGTCCAACTGCAATGTCGCATGCGTCAACGGGAAAGTCTTCTCAAGGTAGTCGGCAAAAGAGTACATAATGTCCCAGCGCGGGTCGGATCCAATTTCGCCCATGTCATCGTAGCTTTGCGTGGGGATCTTGACGGCGCCTGATAGGCGCTCGATGGCAACGTCTCGGAAAGCATCGGACGTTAGGTAGCTTTCCATCTCATCCAACTCTTTCGTCTTCCTCGCTGGGAACAGGGGCTCGACCTGTGGACATTGCGCTTTCGAATTGGCATCGCCTGAATGGGATGGAAGCTGCCATGGCGATGATACAGGAACGGTGATATGACGTAAGAAAGCCAAACCCGCTAAGCAAAACAACGCGCTTCCAACGAATTGACGGTAGTAAGAGCGACTATACTGCTTCGACGGAACCGGAACAGGCGTCTGCTTTCCCCAATTCTTGCCCGCCATAGTGTGATGCTTGTTGATGGTTAGAGTCTTGGTGTGTCTTGGTTATCGGATGTTGCGCGGGGATAAGTGGTGCGTACGTTTGCGACTAGTCTCAATCAGGAAGGTATGTACATGGCTTTGTCAGTATTTATCGGATCGACGAGATAATCGTTATCTACGTCGCTATTTGTTTGTTGTGTACATCGGAAAATTATCCGACGAACGTTCACTTATTGGACGGCGGGGAGGTTGTTGTGCGTGGGTGGTATTTTGTAGTTAAAGCTCAATTCTGAAGAAGACGTCATTTTCTCATCATGGTCTGGTTTGGCATTCCTGCTTCACAGCTAATCACCGGCTAGTTGTTTGATCGGAGACACCTCATGTCCAAATGTGTCGCCATATACTGCTACAATGAACCCTCTGGCCACTTGTACTCCGGCCACGGGAAATCTGGATCGTACTTCTGCTGAAGCACAACACTTCCCACCGGAAACGTCTTCTGTGAACCATCAGGCATGATCATCGGCTGCGCCTCATCAACAAAGGTCCACGCTGCGAGTAGACCAGCAGCCCGCGCAATCTCGTCCTTGAGCTTCCCCAACTTTTCTGGCTGGGGAGAGAAGTTCTCAAGCAGAGCTCTCTCCCTAGTCTCCTCAAATTCACCTGGTCCAGCCGTCACTTCCACGTCTTGATCACGCTGTTGCTCTCTCATATCCATTCCACCGCAATCCGATACCAAGGGCTGGAAGAAATCATTCTTCAACGGTCGCTCCACTTCAGCATTGTCCAGATCCTCGTCGATGTCGATATTGGCAATCTCGTAGTTGATGTACGTCAGAGCCAGGCATTCGGTCTTCACAAGGATCTTCACGACCACTTGTGTACTTTCTGCTTGTCCCTCTTCCACCATTTCGTCGTCGGCAAAGGCATCCACGTACCAGACTGCACTCCTCTTCACTGCATCTTCGTCAATGACGACGAATGGGGATTCTCGGCCTGCTTCGTTTTCTTTGGCGCGCATGTATTGATGGGATTTGCCGATGTAATCATCGGGAGGTCTTATGATCTTGAGCTCGAGCAATGGCTGGAATCGAGAGCAGGCGCCGAGTTCAAATTCTGTCTTGACTTTTGCGAGCTCGTTGTCGTTCAATGGAGCCAGGAGATATGCTGTGAGGCATGTGACGTCGAAGGGAGGCGAAATGAATACCATGATGATGGTGAGTTTGGTAGTAGCAGAAGGGTTTGATTGTGAGCATTTCGAAGGGTTGGTATTCCTGGCTGTTTATATGTGATACATACTGCATGGTGGTCCTCGCGTTGTCAAAGACATTGATCTCGGTGATGCAGGAGACCAGCGATTGGCTGCAGTTACGCTCGCGCAGGCAGCAACATTGTTGAGGGCCCTGCGTTTAGCGGCTCGACTTAGCTTAAGATCGGCGCTGCCGATCTGGAAACGTTAGGCCCTTCAGCAATGTACTTCAAGACCAACACGATCATGCCGCACACCGAAGTAGAACTCCAACAACTGGCACGACGCAAGGCCAGGCTCCAATTCGAGTCAAAGGTGCATGTTTTCCTGATTTGGGGTGTTTTTAGGTAGATCATGAGGCGTGTCGTGATCAGCTACAATTCTATTTACGTTCTGCTGATGAGATGGGTAGTGCGACACCCGTAAGTGAAGTATCAGCTCTACCCATCAACACGCCAGCGATATTGCATCTTTGGCCGTAATTCGACCTAGACTTCCATTGTTCGATTTTAAAGCAGTGTGCTTGCACTGTGATTATGATGTTTCGCTGGCCGCCTTTCTTTCACTTTAGCCAAAGCGGTTACATAATGTCTTCTGCCACTTTCCTCCTCATTATGCAACCTATTGATCGCTGCATACTAAAGAGCAACATCGATATACAACGACCCAGCAGTCTATTCCAGCGCAGCAATAGCAATGAACATGTCTCAACGACCCAACATCGAGCTCTCCGGGATCACTCCCCAACGAACAGGCGTCCCCGCAGACCACATCGATCCAAACCACCCCTACTTCCCCCATGACGATGAAGCCCAACTGCCCCCACGCCCATTCTACAAACGACACTCACTTTTCACCAAGAAGAGATTCCTCATTCCCACCGCCACGACACTCATTATAACTCTACTCATCGCCGCCCTACTTGGCGGCATCAAAATCGGCCTCTCGAGATGTCCACACGTGTCAGCCCCAGTCTATCAAACACCTACTGTTACATCCACACCAGCCCATACAACGCAAGAACTAACGACTATAACAACGACAGTACGCACAACGCCTACGAGAACGGTACCATTTGAGGCGCCGGTTCGACAGACGCCGGTGAAGCCGATGAAGCCTGTGGAGACGGTGTGTAGTGAAAAGGGGAGTTGGCCGACTGTGGAGGAGTGTAGGGGCAATTGCTTCGCAGATGGGAAGTTGGAGCATGAGATGTGTGTACCGTGGACTGGGGGGTTTACGTGTAGGATTTGTTCGTCTGCGCATGCGTAGGCTGAGTGGTTTGGGAATGAGAGACAGTGGATCTAGTGAATCATACATTATTTTCTATACCCGCTTCACTTCATCATAAGACGTTTAAAGCAATGACGCAATGAGCCATCGTCTCGTGAGTCTCTGCCGTGTCAACTTGCTGTGCTCATTTGGACTCGATTTGAGCGCTGATATCTCAAGAACGCGTCGCTATAAGGTGCGCCTTGACATTGGCGAGTTGGTTTTCGAGAGTACGAGACCGGAGACAATTGGAGGAATCGATTTGAGGAGGTGTTTCAGCGTCTCTACGTACGGTAGCTAGACTGGTCGATAGTGAATGTGCGTATAACATGACATCTCCCATCCACCCACTCTAGTCATCCGCGCAAACATACAATGCAGTCTGGATCATCTGAACATATATCAGATGGTTTTTGAACATTGCGTATCCTCATGGCTACCCGGCGCGTCGACAACACGCCCAAAAGCTCTTTCTGGGCGCAGTATCAGAAGTGTCCTCATACGCCAGTGACTGCGCAACTCCTCGGCCGCAAAACACCAGAAGTGAATGAGCCTTTTGAGGCCTTTTCTGCCAGGCAGTGACGCGCGCACTGTCCCAATCTGTTAAGCCTTGTTTTGAGACCTTGAGTTTTCCCCTTCCTTGGCGTATATCTTGCTCATTTCTCTGCGCGACCAAACGCCACACCATCACAGCAATCTGTGACCCCTACTTTCTGGGTGACTTGATCATAACAGCCCTTTCGATCTGGCGCGCGCTCAGGACTGTAACCTGTGACATCTGCGCATCTGACTTCGCGACTATACCCGGCAAACATAGTCGACATCGCGCCGTAAGTTTTGAGGCGTTCAATTTCCCGCGCGCAATACCAGCGATGCAACCTTTTGAGCCGTCTCGTCTGTTCAAATTGACGTTAGAAGCGCATTGACTGACACATTTCTCTGAAGGGCTTTTCCACCTCTTGCCACGACTATTCCCATTCAGCGCCTACCCCCACGCTTCCCAACACCTACCTTGTACGCATCCGAAGAACCTTCACAAGAGGACAAGAACGCAAGAAGATGTCGCCCCACCTCATCGGAAGCCTGGCCCGCGGGGTTCCCAGCGCGGCTGAGGTGCCAACACCCCAGAGCAAGGTCAAGATCAAGATGCCCGTCAGTAGCCCACCGGAACACCTTTCGGGTGCCGAATCCATCCCAGTTGATGAAGACAGCGATGGCGAACTGTCGGACGATCCTGCACCATACGCCGGTCGAGAGCTAGTCAACAAGGAGCTTACACCGAAAGAGACGTTCGCGCCCCACGACACCGACCCCACCAAGATCGAGGCGATATTCAAGATCCAGATGCCCGATGGCAAGACTTGGTTCACCCAGAAGAACATAATCCCAGAGAAGCGCGAATCCGCCGACCGGGACTTGTACGGAGCCGATGATACCATCTTCTTCCCTGACCTCGAGAGCTGCAAGGTGCCCAAGAAGGACAAGGAGAAGAAGAACAACCCCGTGGTGGAATGGAATAAAGTTAGCGAGAACCGTTGGGAGCGGAACTTCAAGGGTATCAACGAGGTCTTCACCCCGAGCATCGCACTCCGCCGCTTCAACGCCCGTACCCGCGCATACGAACACGTCCACGTTGGTCAGTCGAAACTCACGAACATTGACCCCAACGACAAGAAGTGGAAGGACGCATACAACAAGTGGATCGACCAGATCTCGCGCCGATCCAACGCTGCCTATGAGAAGAAGAAGAACCGTGACCACTGGACCGTCCCAGAGATCTGCGCCATGTACACTGGCATCAACGACTTCGTCCACACCAAGGGTTTTGACGCGTACGACACCATTACCACCGCCGACTTGTCCAAGATCGTCGAAGCCATCAACAAGGCTGGTGGAAAGAATCGTGGTCTGGACGCTCTCCGAGGACAGATCACGTCTGCTCATGAGACGAAGAACAAGACGATGGCGTATCTTCGTGAGAACGCCCGAGACTTTCGACTGCTGGTTGAAGGTGGCGGCGTGGTGAGCAATGAGGAGCGGTACCCTAAACACATGATCCCTCTGTCAGAGTTTCCAGTTGAGAAGCGCGCCAATCACCGAAAAGGCACCGGTAAGCCCAAGACATACAAGCCCAAGTTCCGATCTGTGAACACACAGACTGGCGATGACACTGTAGTTCACGAAGACTACGACGGTGCCGGCGTTACTTCGACTGCAAGCAAAATCTCCAAGAAACGCAAGCGCGATGCTCCGTCATCCGACGGCGACGAAGTCGAGGATCAGACTGAGCTTCCTGCTGATGAGAGTGACGAAGAGGAGGTCGAGCATGGCTACGGAAGCGACGCTGGCGAAACCTCAGACGAGGAGGTGGGAAACGGCGATGAGCCCAAGTATATGGAGGAGGCAGAGGAGGCAGAGGAGGCAGAGGAGGCAGAGGATGTGGATAGTCTCGAGGCCGTGAAGGAAGAAGACGCGGAGGAGCCCGAGGCCGTGAAGGCCAAGGTCGCGCAGGCAGCAGACGTGGAGGCCGACGCACTTCCGCCAGCCAAGAAACCACGTGTGACTGACCACGCCATTGAGCTCGCCCGCCGGCTGCTCGAGGAAGATTCTGATGAGTAGCTGTCAGATACACCGTCACGGCCGAGTTCATGACAACGGCCCAAGGCTGGCGCAGCGAATGCGCGGAAAAAGGTTCGATGCTGGCGTTAAGACTTGGGAAAGGTACAAACGACGTTATCAATCATTGAATCTGCGCACAGCAACAAACCGGCTTGTCCGATAGCGACATTTGGCAACGTCTTTACGTATGGATAGTATGCTGTAGGGGTATAATTATGAGAGCAAAACATGGTGTGACCCCTGTGCGTGGCTATAAATGCAGCTCGAGTGACACGATGCTTCTGATGGTGAAAGACATGGCACTTTGCGAATATTTGAAGTGAGCGCTGAGTGAGAAAAACGAAGGGTTGTAAGGAGTCGGGACCGACGAGGAGAACGCGTATGGCGATGGCATGTCGCTGCGTCGCATGATGGAAGGCGCGATCAGTTGCATTGCGCCAGATATGTCGAGAAAGAGAGCTTCATGATGCTATCTAGTGTGATGAGTAGGGATCATCAGGGGTGGTCGATATACTTGATGGCACCGATGAAGATGATGGGCGTTGATGGCACGCGAAGAGGATAGGTGAGAATGAAAGGGGTGCGAAGATCGATACGGCAGGCGCGACAAACCTGCCCCGCAGCATCGCCCACAAAAGCACACTAACCGCAGAGCCTTCCCCCACCAAAGGAAACTTGACGCGACATCCCGACTCATTGCAATTTTTGCGTAATTCGAAAGACTTGCGTTCGCAGAAAGAGCGACAGTCACTCCAGAAAACATGTCAGACACTGAATCGGACACCGCGAGCTCGGTCGGCAGCATCGTCGAAGACGCAAGCGAGCCGGATACGACTACTTTCAAAGATCTGTTTTCGGATCGACAATGGACTCGTGTGTCGGATATGGTAGAGCACAACAAAGCTGAGAATGGATTTGATCTGCCCGCAACGATCAAAGGACTTGGCCCAGGTACGGCTCACAACGTTGAACGCTCATCTACACGTTCTAGGCCTTACCCTTTTCGGATGACTACTGACTGCCTGCACTAGACGCGGACGAGATCACCATCATCAAGCTGATCAACTACCTCC